GATATATATACACACATACAGAGAGCATAAACAGGTGGGAGTTGTCTTACCAACTCTGAGAGGCCAATTAATCAGAGTTGGTAAGACAACTCCCACCTGTTTATGCTCTCTGTATGTGTGTATATATATCTCCTCAATATATGTTCCATTCTAAATTTGTTAGTCTCTAAGGTGCCACAAATACTGCTGTTCTTATTTTTGCGGATACAGACTAACACGGCTGCTACTCTGAAACCTATAGGAGCCAGGACTCCTGTGTCCTATTCCTGCTTCTGGGTAGAAGCACCTCCTGATGGTTTTCTCTACATGCTGTCTCCCAGGTGGAATTTACCAAAGTCTAGCTATAACATACTGAATTTTGATCTAGTGGGATATTCAATCAAGGTGAAATTGACTGTCACTGACATGCCATGGGATGAAGTGGAGCATCAGTGGGGCTTAGTAGAGCTGAGCAAAATTTTTCATCTAAAACCTTTTCCAGCACAAAATGCAGACTCAATGACATCAAAATGCTTAGGGAATTCATGTCCCTTTTGCTGAATTGTTTCAGATAAAAAAAAAAAAGCCCCACAAAACTAAAAGAAAACAAAATCTAAATGTTTTCAGTTTTGGTTCAAAAGGAATGTTTGTCTAAAACATTTATTTAATTTTATTTTAAAAAAATCTTAAAATATTTGAAATCAAAACAAAATGTTTCACTTGATTTTTTTCAACTTTTTGATTAGTCAAAAATTAAGAAGAAATGGTTTTTTGTTCAACGCAAAATGATTTTTTGTAGTGATTTTCGGAATTGCCTGTGGGTCAGAAAATCCATTATTTGCCCCATTCCTCAGCAAATAGTTGTGCCTGGTTTACTTGCTGCAGACTGCTTCATATCATCGTCTCAGCTTCCTCTTTGTGCAAGCACAAGAGCCGACTAACCATACAAAGCAGAGGCAGAAGGAGATCCGGCGTAGGACAGGGGTCCGCACCAGGTCGATGAAGGTATGGCTGCTCTTTGCAGAGGCTATTTCTTTCTGCATGTTGGATCTCAAGACCTGGGGAGAGAAGAGAATTCTGGGTAACGGCATGGGGCCTCCATGGTGGGAAAGGCCTGAAAACAGAGCAGGGGAATGGGAGGGAATGAGATTCTGGATCATCCAGTGGTGCCAAAATTCTAGTTTCAGAGGAGGCCTCAGTCTAGACAAAATAATGTGTATGTGTAGGAAGGGATGGATCGATGGATAGAGAGAAGGGTGTGCATGGGGATGGATGGATAGTTGGATGGATAGAAGCATTTGTAGGGGGATAGATGGATAGAGAGGTGTCTGGGGGGATGAAAGATAGATGGAGATGAATAGAGAGATTATGTGTATGAGTATATGTTTATAAAAGATAGGTGTTTATTTTTAGAGATGGATATATAGATGGCTGGATAGGTGGTTATGTATGTACGACTATAGGTAGAGAGATTGATAGAAGATACCTTGTACGTATGGGAATCCCATTGTGTGAGAAAGAAGTCAGATCATGGTGAGAATACCATTGCTCAGGGAACACTAAAGCCAGTTGCGCCACTGGTGTACATGTGCAGAGTCCCCATGACATGAGTGCAACCATGCTGATTTACATCTGCTTGTCTCGCGTGCCTATATCGGCCGCCGGAGTTGGTGGGAGCTCTCAGCCTCTCTGAGATCCAGTCTTACCTCTATGTTGAGTTTGTCTCCTTCTTCCTTCTTCCGGTTTATCCTGGCCACTCTCTGGAGCTGCTTCACTGCCTCGTCAGGTCTGCCGGCTATTACCAGCCAGCGGGCGGACTCCGCGAACCACCTGGGAAGCAGAAGATATGAAAACACACCTGCACAGGACACGCGCATTGCTCTTGTTGAACTGGGATCAGCCCCACTGGAGCACTGTGCTGTTCTTCTACACTAGGGGCAGTGCCCAAAGTCAGTGCAGGGCACAAGCAGTGACAGAGGCAGCAGGGAGCATGTTGTGGAATAGCCTCAGTGGAACCTGCATTCTCTGGTCTATCTCCTCCCCCCTGCTACCTGCAGCCCCCTGGTGACAGCCAAGTGTTACTGCATCTTGAAGCTCCATTCCCACCAGGAGACTGCCCAGTGGCAGCAGGTGGTACTGCACCTTGCCATGCATCAGGAAGGAAGGATGGTGATAGGGTGATAGCCAAGACCTGACTTCAATTCCCTGCTCCCCTGCAGACTTCTTGTGCGACCCTTGCTAGTCACTTAGTCTGTCTCTGTGTCTGAATTCCCTCATCTGTACAATAGGGTAATAGCACTGCTCTCCCTCAGAAGGGTGTTGTGGTTACAGCTGGTCGGCACTGTTCTGCTGAAATATTTTTCCATTTAAAAATGCGGGTTTGTTCAAACTGAAACTGTTTGCAGAGAAAGGTCGGTTTCAATGAATCTCTTGATTTAAAAAAGAAAAAAGTTACAAAATTTTTCCTTTGTCAAAATTAAAAGTTTCAACAATTTTGTTTCAAAATTTTTGATCATTTACAACTAAAAAAAAAAAGGGTAAAAAATAAACAAGCTCCAGATCAAAAAGAAAAATTTCAAAATTATCAAAAGGAAACATTTCAACTGACCCAACCGGAATATTTTTTCAGATGATCAATTCACAAAAGTTTTCCTGGTTTTGACTTTTGGCCAGATTCAGAATGGGAAAAAATTTTCAAAGTCTCAAAGACTCTCATGTTTGTTGCCAGCCAGCTCTAGCTGTGAGGATAAATATATTAAACACTGTGATGTTCCTAGATACTATGGTGATGAGTGCCAGATAAATAGCCATGATAGGTCAGTTCCTCATATTACCTAGCGGTGACATTATGGGTGGAGTAGAGCCCTCTTTGGTTTCACTGGAAATTTTTCACAATATTAAAAATTTTTTTCAACAGAATAAAAGTTTTCATTTTGTTTCCGTTTTGGGTGGGTTATTTATTTCCTCTCTTTTATTTCCTTTTGCTTTGATTTTTTCACTGGAAAATGGGGGAAAGTGGAAACAAATGGCTCCAAAACATTGAAATAAAAATTTTTGTTTTGTCAAAAAATTAACAAAGTTAGAAAGAAATGGTTATTTTTCAGCAAACCCACCCCCACCCCCGAATCCTGAAAACTAAAATAAAATGTTTGCTTTCATTGCAAATTTTTGAAGGAATTTTGCAGGGGAAAACCATCTTTCTTGGAAAACAAACTTAAGACATCAAATCTTAAACTCTGTCTATTCATACGTTATCCTCTTAGTCTTGCCATTTCCCTGGTTTGCTGAAACAATTCCAGGTTTGAAACTCCACAGCTTTCATAGTTCTTTGTTCATTATTTGCATTACCGTAATGCCCTGAAGACCCAGTCATGGGGCAGAAACCCATTGTCCCAGGAGCTGAACAAAAAGACAGTCGCTGCCCCATACAGCTTATAATCTAAGGACAAGACAAGCAACAAAAGGTGGATACAGAGAGAAGAGCACAAGGAAACAGTGGGACAATATTGGTCAGCATGATAGGCAATGGTCTCTGCACACGAGCAGCCTAACCGTCGTCAGGTTTTTTTGTAAGCACACAGCAAGAGAGAGTTAGAAGAAGGACAACGAGGTACCTTTGCTGATGTTTACCGGGGAACTCCTCCCAGGTATGAGGGGCAGCATGATAGAATGCACAAAGGTGCTTGCTTGAAAATTTAGCAAGCGGGCAATGGAGGCAGGCATCATGGGCCAATCGGAGTTGGGAGTCGGCATTGTGCTAATGAATGACAGATGGGATAGGTATGGTGCAGTAGGGCGTGAACGGCTTTGAAATGAAGATGAGTAGTTCATGTATGATGTGATGAAGAACGGGGAGACAGTGGAGGGCTGCAAAGAGAGAGGCGACATGGACAAAGCGATGAGACACGGAAATGATCTTTGCAGTAGTGTTTTGAATGGATGTAAGTGGAGCAAGATTGCATTTGCCAAGGCCGGAGAAGAGAATGTTGCAGTAATTGAGACGCAAGATTATGAGAACTAGGATAAGGGATTTGTTTATTCTACTTGCTTAAAATTTCATTCCTGCATCCAGTGAGAAAAGCAGGATGGAAGGAGAATGGATCAGAAAGGATAAGGGTGAGCTAACCTACCAGGTGTAGATGAAGCAGATGAAATAGGGCAAAGACACCACAAGCTGCAGCCAGCGCCAATTGGGGATGGCGTAAGCCACCCCAGGCAGAATACACTGCCCGATTGTGATGCAGTATCCATACATGGTGACCACAATGGCCCGTGTGCGGGTGGGTGTCCATTCCACAGCTGGGGAGAGATGTGCACAAAGGGAAAATAATTTCTCTGTCCTTGGGCTGATGACCTCCAGTGGTGAGAACAAGCATGAGCGGAGGCAGCAGGAACATGTACAAACAGCCTTCCCCTGGCTCTTTGAGGCTGAGATGAAATAGCTCCCCAGAACCTGCATTCCCTGAGCCATGCCTCCTTCCCCTGCCAGTTGCATCCCACCTAGTGGTAGTAGGTGGTACTGCATCCTGCTGGAGGCGCTCCATTCCCCCTCGCCACGGCAGCAGCCAGTACTGCGCCCTGCAACAACTCCAGCCCCCTGGTGGCAACAAGAAGTACTGTACCCTGCAGGGTTGCAGCAGCTCTAACACCCCACAATGGCACACTTATGCACCCTGAAGTACATCAGCCACAATACACAGCAGTTATGTAATTGAATAAGCTGAGTCCCATTAGCGTCTGATACCCAACTGCCCTGCCCCTGGGTCCTTCAGTTCCTAATGGACCTGTATACATTGTATAGTGCAAGGGACTTTCTAGTAATAGAATCTTAGAATATTAGGGTTGGAAGGGACCTCAGGAGGTTATCTAGTCCAACCCCCTGCTCAAAGCAGGACCGCTCCCCAGAGAGATTTTTACCCCAGTTCCCTAACTGGCCCCCTCAAGGATTGAACTCACAACCCTGCGTTTAACAGGACAATGCTCAAACCACTGAGCTATCCCTCCCCTCAATGAGTTTGCGGCCGACCCGAGGACTGGCCAGATGAGGAGGGCATTCTGTAGCTCCTGGCTGATGCACATGGCCTGTGCCTGTTCTGTAGAAGATGTATTGTGGAATCTCTGTTCTGTTGTGAATCATCGTCATCTGATGATGGCACTCCACTCTAAATAGTTTCCCTTCCATTCTTGGGGACTGTAGGGGTTCGGCCGGGGCTCATCCCCCTCTGGGATGGGTGGGAACCAAGCGGCCTCACTACGGGGACCTGCATGCTATTGGAAGCTGCCGTGTTTTGTGGCATCTCCTGTGCTCTGGCACTGCAGAAGCACATGGAGGTGCGATTGTTCCAGAGAACTCAGTTCTCGTTTAGGTACCACATTCTCAGAAGAGGACAGGCCCAGATTTCGAGGTCCAAAATACCTCCTAAATAACGTGCTCAGGTCTTTGTCAGCTGTGGCAATCAGTGTCCCAAAGGGAGCTGCTGAGTGCTTTGGTAAATCCAGGTTGGAATGGGACCTAGGACTTTTGGAAAATCTAGCTTCCGATTTTTGGTGCTGAGACCTTGCACACACCGCATGGGTGGGATGTCCTTCTGGTCTCTCTGTGCTCCCACCACAGAGTAATTTATCAGCAGCGGGAACAAGGCACCTCGATCCATCCCCAGTAACCAGCTCATCTTGTGTCTGGGATGGCAGGTGCCAGACACACTTACACAGAGAGACACCGTTCATCACAATGCCCGAGAAGGCCATTCCGGTCAGGAAACGGAAGATGCAGTAGGCAGTGAAGCTGAGCGAGAAGGCAGTGCTGGTGCCCGTGACAGTCATCTGCAAGTAGCACCAGATCAAGGGAGACCTGCGGCCAAACCTGAGCCAAAAAGAACCAAGAGAACAGGTGAGGGAAACCCAGGATACTGAGGTAAGTGTGTTCAGAGTAAGAGTTAAACCTGGTGCAAGGAACTATTGGCGCCATTGTCTGGCATGGCTTCCTGGCTTGGGGAAGGGGCAAAGAGGCAGGAGGCCCCAGTTCTAAAACCAGCTCTGTGGCACGTGACAAAAGGTTATTGATGAAAATACTTCATGTCAGCCGTGCTGTACCTGCTAACGATGAGGCCTGCAGGGCTGGATTAAGGCAATCTAGGGTCCTGGCAGTAGGGTTATCCCCTGGCTGGTATTTGACTGTTAGAAAAACATCCAATCTTGATTTAAAATCTCCAGGGCTGGAGAATCCACCGCACCCCTTGGGCCGTTGTTCCAATGGGTAATTCCTTTTGCTGTTAGAAATTTGCACCTTATTTCCAGTCTGAATTTGTCTAGCTTCAGTTTCCAGCCACTGACTCTTGTTAGACCTTTGTCTGCTAGATTGAAAAGCCTCTTATCAGATTGCTGCTCCCCGTGTAGGTACCTATATAGAGAGCCCCATGTTTTTTGCAAATGTGAAATAATATGAAATAAAGCTTAAAAACTCACCCTGCAGTGGCAGCTCCTGTCCTGTGAAGCTTGACCTGGCTCCCCATTCTGAACAGGTGGGGGCACGCAGCCAAACCTGAACAGCACTGCGACCCTGTGTGCCAGGCCCAGGGCTGGCTCCAGGCACCAGCCGAGCAAGCTGGTGCTTGGGGCAGCAGATTGTTCGAGGTGGCATTCCGCTTTTTGTTTGTTTGTTTTGTTTGCTGTGCCGCTCCGGCTGCCCTGTAGGGGGCGGCGGCGTGGAGGACGGGAGCGCCCTGCAGCAAGCCCGGCAGGCAGCGCACCAGTCGGGTCCGCGTGGTAGCGCCCCGCTGAAGCCGTGGCCGCCCCCTTCTCTCTCTCCCCCGGCTCCGTCCGCCCCGCTAGGTTTTT